AGTATTTTGTCTTAAAGTTGCCTCTTAAAAAAAAAAAAAAAGCCGTGACGTCTGCTATAAATTGGCTAAAGCAAGAAAACTCAAAAGGAAGGATTTAGGCACTTCCTGCTGTCTTGTGGGTCTAAAATTGGGCAATTTCCAAGCAGAATATGCTACCAGGAACAGAGAGAAACACACACACACACAGAGCAACTTCGCCTACCCAGTGCCACCGTCAAACCTGGGCTCAAAGCTTGCCTCTTTTATAGGAAGGAAAACCAAAGTAGAGATGACAGGAAGGACCCAAACCAAGAGCCAGCTTCTGCCAGGAGAGGAACTGAACTCCAAGATCCAATTCTCAACCAAGGCAACAGCCCCCTCTCCCCACGCCTGCGGATGTGGGGGACCTCCAGCTGTCAGGTAATGGGGTTAAAGCAATCAGGAGAGCATCCTTTATCACAGAGCTGCCTCAAAGAGTGGAGCTCACCGCCACAGGTTGTTGGAGGCCGAAACGGAAATATGTTAATAAATGACTGGACAACCTCATGGCAGATAGGAACATCAGGAAGGACCAAGCGCAGCATCCTCCAGGTAGCCGCTGACTCAGGAGGTCCCTGTGTTGCTGGAAGCACTAAGGAATCACCCAGAAGGATTGCTCTGTATCTGTGCTGTTTCTTACAAAAATACTCCAGACCACACGGGATATATGGTATTAAAGCCTAGAAATAGGACAAGGCTAAGAAGATAGCAGTGTAATCTACCAAAGATATAAACATGTCAAGTGCAGAGCATACATATCTATCGATGGATCCCCTGGAAGCATATTCTGCGAAGAAGGTTTTTTTAGAAGAGACTTTTTTCCTGCTTTTGCAGTTGTCATTTTCAAATAAGCCCAAGACAGGCAAGTACAAGCCTGGGGTCTGCAAATACACATAGAAAATGCTGGATCTGGCTGTACAGGTGATGGGGGAAACTCAGCAAACGTCACCTGCTCAAACAAACCTGCCCTCTTTCGGCCCCTGCATGCCTGCACCGACCGACAGCTCCATCACCAGCAAACCACCACCTTACTTAGCTTTTAACTCCATTTACTTCATAAGGAAGGATACCAGGGTTTGGGAGATCACAGAACTACAAGCTCAGAGGGACCTCAAGAACTCACCAACTCATTCCCCCCAGCAAGATCACCTCAACCCGAATTACTGCTGATGGACACACATCAAACCTGTTCTTTCACACCTCCAAGGACGGAGGCTCCAAACCTCCCCAGCAAAGCACTGCAGCAGATTGCCAATCTCTACTATCAGAAGACTCTTTCCAGAAGAAGGAAAATATGAATCTCACCCACTAACAGCTGTAGGATCCATCTCAGTTAATGTGGAAGGATAGAGAAGGGGCAGATGAACCTTTTCCAGAGAGAGATTCATCCCCACCACTCAGGGCTGCATTCCAACAACCAGTTGAGAAGAGATACCCTCCGCAACGACGGTCGATGTTCAGGGAAATGAACCCCACCTCCTGCAGCCCAGGCTAAGCCTCCCTCATGCAACACCATTTCCTCTCCTGCCTTTGAAGAACCTGCACGTGTTTTCAGGGGTTTCCAAAAGGGATCACAGGGAAGTCAATCTAGGCTAGTGTCTCAGTTTCTGTGTAAGCTGAAGATATCAACTAGCTCTCCGCATGCAGGACGGATGAATGAAAAATGTCACTGTGCTGGTTGCAAGTAGGGAGTAGCAAGCTCATCGGTATGGACACAGCTATACAAAACCAGCAAACAAAAGAGGTAACATGATTACCTGGGAACCCAGGCAGCATCACATGGCATCAAGCAACTCCTGCTTCCGTTCCTATCGTGCCTACAACCACAGACCTGCCCACAGCTTACGCAGCGTACAGCACACCTTTAGCCTGTGTCCTTTGGACCACAGCCCTCAGACAGACCGGTTCTGCTCACAGAGCAAGTGGAAGGAGAGAAAACCACTCAACTCATCATGTCCCGATGCTGAGTAAAGGGACGGTTCCTCTCTTTCTCTATGGCCACCATGATGAGGACCATCTAACCAAGCAGCTTCTGTTGGCCCTGAAGGGCTGGATAAGTCAGTGAGCACCGTGATCTCGGTTCTCTTAAGCCATCTCCAGGGTCCCTTTCTGCAACCCCAGCCTTTCCTTCACATTGAGCCAACGCAGCAACAGGAGACAGAGATGGAGCCTGCTCCAATGGATGTTTCATCCCCAGAACTTGGAGCTGGTTTGATTCATTGAGGTCTAGCATAACAGTACTTAAGCCAGAGAACCCAGCAGCCATTCGTAGAGTTGGTGGTTAAAAATGTCTACCCCTCTCCCTTAGCAACAGAATGGTTATAATTTGGAATTGGACATCAAGAGCCAAAAGTCCAAAAATTATACCTTCAGAAAGCCTAAGCACTTTAAAGATCCAATCCTCATCCGTGCCCTAGACACCATGGAAGTCAGGATACTAGAGATGCTCAGATCACTGTAGCATTGCATCCTAGAAAACGTTTAAACCTTAAACCTTTTAAAAACCACTTTACCTCCTCTGGTCCATAGACAGACCAAATTTCATCCTGTCTTCAATACCCTGCAGTGCTCCCAGGTGCTCTGAGCCTTCGGTTCCAGGACCTTGTTCAAGACATGGTCCTCCCTCTCTCTCTCTCACAGACACACTCACACTCTAATTTAATATTAGATCTCGGCCGGGCATATAAACCACAGGCACACAGGAGAAAGGGGACTTTTCACCAGCAGGGATGGCAGATCTCCAGAATGTTCAAAAGGGGCCGGAAGCCCGACACAACCCGCCCGCCCCAACTCCTATTAACTCCAACAAATTGTTTATTGCACAACAGAAGAAAAATGCTGCCCCTCTCCCCCAGCCAAGTCTTTCCATGTGCGCTGCACGCGCAGGCTCCCTCCTCCCGCCCCCGCTGGGGAGCCAGCTTTATACCCAGGGAAAGGTAACAGCAGCGATTATTACACACACTATCCCACAGCTCCTCGCTTGTTAAAAAAAACAAGAGTCTCTTTTGTGCCCGAAATAAAAGGAGATACCTTAATTAGAACAATGCAGGTTGGTGAGCATTAAACACTGAGCCCAGCTGCTGTATGCCATTAAATTCATAAAAAAGGAGGGGGGAAGGAGGGCAGTCTTAACGAGATTACACACATTGACTTTGATCAAGACACAAAAGCACCAAGGCGTTCCAGGGTTTTTATTGCTGTCTTCGGGCTACATTTTAATGGTTACATTAGAAACATGCGAACACAGGCTGGGAGATTTTTTTGAGACGGGAGAGGGAGTGCAAGCATGCCTCGTGAAAAGGCCTAGTTTAATAAATTGGGGGCTGCAGGGAGAGGCTAGGACTGGGGAACACATGAGTAGCCACTTATTAATTGCTTCCCCTATGCAAGTGCCAAGTCCTAACACGATGCCTTGCTGGACTATTCCCATCCCGCTTGCCAGGTCGGCAGAAGAGCCACGTGCAGAGAGCACACAGCCAGCTCCATCCCCACCTTCCTCGCAGATATCTAGGGGGGAGATAACACCCTCCCCCTCTGGAAGGGTAAATGCTGACCCCGCAGCACGTGGAGCGGGGGTTCCTGGTTCTCATGGGCAGCCGTGACCGCTGCACGTGAAACAAAGGGGCCTGACTGAAGTTGAACTAAGTTGCTGCCGAACCTAAGAACAGCCCGAAATTGGTGCCACAGATTTAGATGACTTGAGGCTGCTGGGAAGAGGAGAGGACAAAGACTTCAGAGTAAAGAAAATGAAAAAGAAATTAGCGTTTTACCCTCTGCTTGTAGCACTGCTGAAGGACAAAGTCACTCTTCACTCAGCAAAGGTGGCAGAGCACACATTCATCCAAACACCTCACAGCTACGTACCCACATATGTGTCTTTTATAACACGCTGCTAAAATGTTTACAAAAGCTTGTATAATCTAAATAGTGACGGGGTGTAGCTGAAGAGCTATAAAATACAGCCCAAGGGATAGCCAAGTTATTGAGTTGCTATTAGTACTCAAGCCCACAGGCACTTCACCGTCCTGGTAACTTTTCTTGGACAAGACTTTTAAAAGGCAGGATTTAAAGGAGCATGATCGGCTTAATCGTAATTCCAAGCACACAACGTGTTCTATAAAGTAGATTTTGTAATGCCTTACAGGAACAGTTTTTAGGAGTGGCATTCCCTTACATTTTTTGCAACCCAACACTGTATCATCTTGCTAACAGGAGAACTAGAAAGCACAACTGACTATTTCCCACTCCCCAACCTGAACAAAATGAAAGCTTGAAAATCAGCTGCACAGGGGACATTAAAGGCTGATTATAAAGCCCACAGTTTTAACACAGGAAAGGAAAACACTTTATTTAATAACACCTCAAATTTTAACCCGATGTCCTTTAATACATGTATAAATTACTACTGCACTAGGTCACCTATTAAATGTTCAAGGTAGTCCCTAATCTTCCAAACAGAATGGCATACGCTTGAAAACTGCACAGTGCTATTTCAAATAATCTGAAAAATACAGATTCATATTCATAAACGCTTCCTTCCATATCATCTAGCCTGAAGATGATTCCCTTTGCTTCAGGGGAATATTAGGTTTCTCAAAAACTACCCATTCCATGAAATCTCAGTGGATTTGGCCTCCATTCTCACAGCTTTACCTCTCTGCATGGATGCCCCACAGGAAATTACTGTAAGGCAAGGTTGTCCCCAGTGCAGAACTCTTACATGAGCAATCGCTGTCCCCACAGCAGCAGAGGAGCAAGCAAGGGGCAGGACTGCACTTTGGTCACGACAACTCCAACAAAACTCACTGAAGTCAAAGCTAGAGTGGGGTGTTAAACAACAAGGCTTAAAAAGTCTGCAGGCACAGCACTCGGATTGTTTAAAATAAAACAAAAAGCACCTTTCCCCGTGGTGATTTAAATAAAGTATCCCAAAAGAGAGGAAAAAGTCTAGAAGTCAAGAAGAAAGTAGCCAAGAGCCTCACCAGAGTCCGCAGCCAGCATTCTTCACAGTGCACATGCCAGCACTGAATGGAAGTCAGGGGCATTGTGTAGGAGTCCTGAGGAGAAGAAGCAAACAGGTTATTTCCACAGCAGGGACCTACTGATTCTTTGCTGCCCACCCCATCACAATGCCTTTCTCTGTGGGTAACATTGCCTTGTATCTTGTATTACAAAAAATAAGTTTGTGTAATACGTAAGTTGGTATTTTTGCAATGTTTTTGCAGTAGAGGTAGAAAGTCTCCTGCAGTCCATTTCTCTGGCTTCCCAGAACTCCTGTTGGAAGCCCATAATCCACTCAAGTGGTGACCTGGCTCAGTACAGTTATCGCAAGAGCATCTGAAGTTGCTGTGGCCACCTGCCATTATTCTCATCAGAAAGGTCACAAGATCACACAGAAACCAGTGACAGGGTAAGATTAACCCTTATCACAACTCTTAGCTCTGCAGGAACGGCTTAGCTACCTCCCAAGAATATTGCTGCTATTTCAGCAGATGTGCCTTCTCTTGAGTATTTTCTGTCATTGCTAATAACCCTCTGGAAATCAGCACCAAACTGTTGTCCTGTCCGTGGGATGAGAGACGGGAACTGCACCCCCATACCTACAAGTCGTGAGCTGGGAGAGCACCATGCCTCAAGTTGAAGTTGCAGAGGGGGCCCTTCGCCAAGCAGAATTTTCTGCCTCTACCAGCAAAATAAAAACCTAACAGGAGAGGCAAAGCTTTGCAGGCTCAGACCATCAGAGGGAGCTGCTGCCCTTCTTTAAGAAGGCCACAGCATCACCACAGAGCAAGCAGGACATCGACAACTTTTAAACGCTCAGGCAACATTCCCGTTCTCAAATCATACGGTGGGTCCCAGATCACAGATTCTGCTCTCTCCTATGTATGCAAATCTGCGCTTGCAGGAAGAGGACGCTGGTATCTAGGAGTCTTCTGTAGGAAGGCTGAAAGTCTTTCAAAGTTGCGGCTTTCTTGCCCTTGATACAGATGGACAGCCACAAATACCAATGGAACAATGTAATGCATGCAGAAATTTCAATTGCTAAAAAGACCTAGCACCCTCATTTGGAAGGCTAATTGGTGTATAGGGACAAAGATGAGTTCCCCGACTCCACTCAAAAAAGGAGAAAAGCTTCTCCCCTCCTCGGCAAAGATACCAAGACATTTCTGATTCATTACCACAAGTGGAGTGCTACTCACCATGCAAATGAGACATTTATAGCGGTCCCCACGGGAAAGCTGCCTTTCTAACTCACGGACACGAGCCTTTAACGCTTCAAATGTTGTCACTGCGGAGTCTTCTGTAATTCTGCAAAAGATGATGGAGAGTGAGCATCACTGAGCACACAAGACTGTTAAGAGTTCAGGGGGAGAAAGGATCCCACAACAGGTACCGCACAGGAAATGGCAACATTCGAACTAATACATCCCGCTTGTGGTGAAGAAGAATTCCTGAAAAGTCCACTGTGAATTCTTTGAGGTGTTCTACTTAACACTTCCAAACGCATCACAACAGAACACAACGGGGCTGGGGCTGCCAACTTCACACAGAACAAGTTTCCACAAGACATGGGCATTTTAAAGAACACTTTGTTTGTTTGTTTTGTTTTCTGCCCCTTTTCTTGTCTCCCTTAAGAGACTCCTTAGGACCCCATGCTCTGGACAAAGTTCTGTATGTTGCTCTAAAGCTGGTAAGATAACTTTCTGTGGGCAACAGGAGCTGCTCTTCCCCTTAGAGAATGGAGGTCTTTGCTGGCCATCGACCTTGCGAAACACACAATCAGCTCGTTACACAGGATCAACACAATGCCTTTATATTAAAGAAACCCCCAGCTTTTTGGGTTCTAATACTGAAAAAAAAAAAAAAGGAGAAACCAAAAGCAATGGACACTGTGCCAACAGGGTGGCTATAAAAGCAGCTTTACAATCTCTGCTTTCCCATTTCCTAGGGTCATTTTTGATGGGCAGCATTATCTCTTTTGTCACAGAGGCGCTGTGCTGAGGGCAGGCAAGTGTATTTTCATGGTTCTGCAAGGCTGGTGAAAAGAGCAACTTGCCAACCTAAAAGCAAGGGCAGACAGCAATACTTAGGAAATGAGATGCAGGGGGCATTACAGACAAGGATGTGTCACTCCAGCGTGCTGGAAAATCCTATTTCTACACAGTGCAGACACAGGGAGGGGCCCTCAAGCATCCCCCAGAAAAGGTTCAGAGCATTGCACTGACATTAAGGCTTTCACTCTTGCGGAAAAAAAACCCAAAACAAACCAGCAATTCTCGCGTACGTCAAGGAATTTCAGGCCTGTCCAAGCAGACTCCAGCTCAGAAGAACCTGAAGAGTACCTCGCTGCCAGAAGCTGCATCAATCGCAACATAACCCACAGTGGCGCCTATGTTTTCTACCTTTTTAGAGGATGATTCATCAACAGGTGGCTAAAACCATATCTAGTGGAATTACTACGACCAATAAAGTGAGCTGCAATCTCAGCACTCCAGCTGCACGCACACTCTCGCTCCTTTGTTCATTAGTCACTTGTCGCCGGCACGCAGGGAGGGACCTGAGGTATCTCCCATGAGGTGATTCTGTTGGCTTTTCCCAAGGCTCTGGAAAGAGAGCTAGTTGAGAAGATCTTGAGTGATTTTTCTAATTATGACACTTCAGAAGGAACTGGAGCCGCAGGAGTGCATATGGTTAAGTACCAGTGTTATAAAGCTTCTCCAACTTCACTCCTACCTTTGTACAGATCAGACACTCTCTGCACGAACTAACCGAGGTGAGACCTTCATCAGAAGGAGATTCATTGCAAATGGCAGTTGCTATGAAATGGTAACAATTTTAAAACTGCATAAAAGGCAAAGAAATACACGTCCCGTGATAGCCTAGTGGGTGAGGACTGCCTGGGGACAGGGACACTGGGGATTCAAGTCTTGCTATCAATAAATATTCTTTGGAGCAAAATGAAAGAGCTTCAGTAGGAGACAGCACTCCCCACTGTGAAACACCTGCTTGCTCCTACTCATAGTATAAATGATTATCTTCTCCCAGTTTGGGTTCTCACCCTCAAGGAAGAGTTGTTAGTGTTTTCAAAGAAAGTCTAGAAAAGCTTGAGGATTATTGTTGGATAAGAAAATTATTTCCCTTCCAGTCTGGCCCATCAATGAGCTGATGCTGGATGAAGGCTGCAGTTGAATTTGACTTTCTGGAACCCACTTCTTCCTGTGTGCATCAGGGTACTGGAGTTTTAAAAGGCAGTGAGTGTGGCTCCTGCCCAAAGTGAGTAGCAAGCAGAACCTCAACTCTTGCTAAATTCTCCTGTTACTATCCATGGAGCTATCTGTCCTCCTCTGAAGGGCAGGAGACTCAGCAAGGAAAGGGAAAAGTGGAATCCTCGAGCAGATCCAAGCAAAGGCCAATTCATCCCCAGTCCCAGCCCAATAACAGTCAAAGCTTGAAAAGGAAAAATTTGCCTCTGCAACAACTAGAGGGGATAGAAAATGGTTTGTTTATAGAAGTCTAAATGGCTGACCCCCATCGGCCAATTTCGGAAAGTCTCTGAGATAATCGCACCTGTCCAGTAATAAACGAATGAATCAGAAAAGGAGGCTGAATAGAGGTATAAGCAATAATGCTCAGAGGCTGCCTGATACAATGGCCAATCAATAGGAGGGCTGTAGATCAGGGTGCTAGTTAGCTGGAAAATTACCGCACCGCTGCGTGCGTCACGCTGTAGGGATCCTGGACAATCAATGTGGGAGGTATTGATTTAGTTATTATCACTTCATACGCTCCAGACATTGTTAAATATACATTTATTAACAAGACTGGGGTGCATTGGTAAGAGAGGGAGCTTTAGCCGCTGCAATATCTCCCAGAGCTGAACAAAGCTCAGCTGTGACAGACTTTAAACTCCATGATCTCCCTGCCAAGTGTGCTCTCAGGACAAATCCTGACGCACAGCATAGTGCCAAAGACGCAGCTCCCATCTCACAAGAGAGAGATTCTGGCCATGAGCGAGTATTTTGCACTTGAGATTTCAGGAAAGCCTCCTGGAGCAGCAGCAACCAGGGACGTGGCGGCCAAGGGTCAACCCAAAGTGAGCGATAATTGCATGGTTGCTTCCGAAAAGCCGGAGGAAATGAGGTCAAGGGAAATAGGGAGAACATTAGTAAATAAAGGAAACTGGAACTACCTCCAGGGATGGAATAAAGACAAGAGTCACTTCCCATGTGTCTGGCTCCCGTGGTGGCCAGCACACTTGGGACACATGCCATTCCATTTAGTGACATTTTACCGTCAACGTGCGGCTTGTATCCTAAAGATAAGCATCGCTTAGGAGCAACTCTTCCTGCAGCAGCAATCTTGGGAACTCCCTCAGGCTTCCCTCTTGCGTGCACACCTCGTGTGCGCTTGCCCGGACACAGCTGGGAGCAGCCTGTGCAATATTTTTACAGGGTAACGCCGGGGTGGAGCGAGGGTCAGAAAGCCAAACTCCACCGACGGCGTAAGGCTGTGTACAGGTCACCCTGCCAAGGGAGGCAGAGGGAATCATAGGGAAGAAGGAATCGTCTTCCACAGCCCTGCTCTCCCGGCTTTGCCTTGACCTCATGGCTGGATGTGGGAGGACTCTTTTAACAATTTTGCGCCTCAGCGCTCTGATTTGACGTGTTTGGATAACGTCATTTATCAGCCTCCGGAGAGATCCGCTGAGCACGACCGCTGCCAAGAGCAATGCCTCAAGCCCCAACGCTGGTGCTTCTCCAACCACACAGGTGTGAGCAGCCTCGCCGATACCTGCGTTGTCCTCCCTGGCTGAGAACATACCAAGAGGGCACATCCACGCTCTACTTACTGTGGACCTACACCATCACAAACCAGGGAACCTGAGCGGGAATGTTTATATAAGAGCAAAAACATGAAGGAAGAGCTCCTTGTGGAGGAAATTTGGTCTTGCACTTCTCTCTGGACTTTGTGGATAACTCTTCAGCAAGTTGGCAGTCACAGATGAGGATGCTGGGTACCAGCGAGCAAGTCTATAAAACTGGACAGACAGCACACGATAGTTTTCAGCCTTTGTGCCCAATGCATATTTTTCTACTGAAAATAAGAACAAACTTTCTTCCTCTGAGCAAATCTTTGGTTTGTTCAGGTAAAAGGCCAGAAGAAGGGCACAAAATACCACAGAAGAGGAAAAAGGACCTATCTGTAGCTTTGAGCTGTAACTCAGCAATCGCCTCCTGGGAAATCTCCCCTGGGAATCAGCTGCCCCCCTGCTCCTTTGCAAAAAAACTTTAACCCAAACGCTGGTTATTTGTCAAACATTAGCATGCATGTGATCTTTGTTTCTCCAAATTAAATCGAGCAATTCCTACCCGCTGTCCCAGTGGGCAATCACAAGCAATTCCGTTAATTAAATTATCTCTGATTCTGCAGCTCTGGAATCTCTCAATTGACTAAGTCTGTGCTTTATCATCAACAAAATACTGGACCAAAAAGGAAACAAAAAAATGCTGATGTCAAAGTGATTGGCTTCAGTTAACCCTTCCCAGCTGGATATTAAGGGCTGCTCAAGAAACTGTTGGACTGGAACGAGCCCAAAAGTGAGAGCTTCGTACCAGAGATACCAGTAGCAGCTGTTCACTTGTGATTTCTTTCCATTGTACGGAAAAAAATAAAGCAGCATACCATCACTGCATCCAGCATCCTGCCTATTTGAAAGCCACAGGAAGATGCACACTGTCAGCAGCTGAAGAAGCAGAAACCCACCTCAAAGATCAGTGAGCCCCTGCGAATACCCCATCCTCCCCTTACCCAGATCTCACTTGATGTACCCCACTGTTGAGGAGTTGCCATAAAACATTCCCCTTTGGTTTCGTTCAACTGGATATAAATTTTCCTTTCTTCATAAACGGCCACACTGTACACAGTATTCCATAAATTTTTACAGTTCCACTGTTTGTATGTACCTTGTAAAAAATGCTTAGCACTGATTAAATGCACCACCAATAAAATTTCATGGGCTACTTTTGACACTTGATATTCTGACCTTCCTCTCTCTTCCTCATACTTTTTTTTTTTTTGTATGCCTGTAAACACAGAGCGGCAGAGGGGAAAACGTACAGTACCACTGACAAACCCGAGAGTGATGTCTTTATTTTTAAACAAAGCCTTTATCTTCCCTTGTCCGAGGTGCAGAACCTGATCCCAGCAGAACATACATGCCATTTCCCTGCACCAGGGGCAGAGGTCAGGTCGCTAGCAGCTTACATATCATAAATATTAGAAACAGACCGGTCGATGCTTTGAAGGCA